AGGGTTGGTATCGTAATGCCAATAAATAATTTTATAATGTTGTTACCTGGTTGTCTTTACTATTCCAATCTGACATATCCCTTACTACAAATTTTCGCAGTGTTACTGCCGATCATTATCAACAAAATCTAGAAACGATAATAATACAATCGCACCTGTCTATTTGCATAAAGGAGCCCGGTCCCTTAGTGGGACCTATAGGCTATTTGCATAAAAGTGGCCCTAACTCTAGCAACGTGTATTTGCCATAAAAGGAGAGATCAACCAGATTTAAATTTTATTATTGTGGCGTAAAAAATTACTAATGTCGCTTTGTTTCAGAGACTCAGAATAAATCATTTGCTATGTATGCTAGTTAACTTCCTAATCTCATCCGAACAGTTTCTAGACTGTTGCAACAAAAATATATTGATTATTTCTAACGCTTTCAACTTTTCCTTAGCAGGAACAACTGGCAACTCATTTCTCCCTCATTATCTTCTCCCTCATCCCGATTTTCACCGCCTTGGATTAATTAAATTATTGTCTCCTCATCCACAAGTTCTTCTATTTCAAGAAATCTTCCGTTCTCATAGGGTTTCTGTATCTAAATAATAATAATGACAATAACGATAATATAACAATGAAACATTAACGTTAAAGTTGGGATATTAAATACCTTAAGGCTGTAATATATCTCTCTATCTCGAAAGTTATTGCTTCTTTGATTGCTTAATGTAGTATTCTTCATTGTAAAATGATAGCGATAACATATTTACGAGCGCATAATTATAAAAAAAATTTTTTTTGAGTAATCTGATCATGTGATTGATATCAACAAACGTGTATTTGCACATTCGTCTATTTGCATAAAAATCTATCAGTCCCAACAGTATGCAAATAGACAGGTGCGACTGTATAATGTTACAAATATCGTTTTTGGAAATTGATATTTTCCAACTTTCCAATAAATTGTTCCAATATTATCACTGTACTTATGAAGAATGTAAAGAATGGATAGAAGAAATATGCGTTATTAATAATACTTGTACTACAAAATATTATCAATTCCACATCCAGTTAGCTTTTTTGTTACTTACACCTTCGTAAAGATGGTAACGCGAAGCTCGAAGCCCAAAAACAAACAATTAAACATGACTGGCTCAACGGTACCAATTCAGCCAAAGAATACACAAAATAACAAACAATCGCCTTCGTACTGTTGAACGTAATCCCAAGAGAAACAGGCACCGTTGAGCACAAGCGAGGAAACGGACGTAAAACTAAGGTTATACAAACATATAATATACGCCGTAATAGTGTTCTTTCGACCCGTCAACTTGCTGTAAAAGTAGAAAACACGCAGAATATACCAATTTTCGCATGTTACTGCTGCATTGTATGGGATTACATAAAAAAAAAGGGGTATAAAAGTTCTGCATTTAGCAACGCCGATGCTCACCGAACGGCATATTGAGATGAGAAAGGCTTGGACACAGGCGCATGCGAATGACAATTGGAACACAGAACAATATTTACGGATAAGATAGCCTTTGATCTTTTTCGAAACAAAACTGGTGATGACTCATTTGAAAATTACCCAAATCCCGCCAGAAGGTAATGGCGTGGGGAAGCATTTCTCCCTTGTTTTGTTTCACAATTATTATGGATGGTCCCTTTTATATGAGAATACTGCAAACACAACTTTTACCTGCTGCCCGAAGAATGTATGGGAGGAGTTGGCCGAAGCAACGTCACGTGTTGCCAAAGAATTAAATTCAATCCATGTGCCATGTTTACTTGGAATGAACTGGGGCCTCTTATGAGACTAGAGGGTAAGATTAATAGTAAAAGATATGCTGAAGAAGTGTTGCAAAATTCAACTATACCAATACCGTTTATAAAAAGTTTACGGCCGAAAAAGCCGTTATATCTTCCAACATGGTAACACAAGTCACATGACTCGGCAGGTTCTCGAACAATCAGAGATAAAAGTCTTAGATTGGGTCCAGACCTCAATCCTATCGAACATTTATGGAATGAATTGGGAAGACGTGTTCATGGGAGAATACCTCCACCAAATAATGAACAGGAGTTAATGGATTTTCTCCAAATCTTATTCCACGGGAATATTATAGAAATTTAATAATGAGTATGAACAATAGAATAGAAGCTGTTATCGCAGCAAACGGCAATGTAATTATATCTAAGCCTTGAAGATTTAATAAACGGCTTGCCAACAAAATTCTTAAGGAATTTTTAATATGTCTCAGCAGTAGTTGTAGAAATATACTATTTTATAAGGGTTTTATCGAAAAATATGTATCTCTACAAATACTTAAGATAATTTAACTAATTTTTTAATACGATTTTACCTCGGGCCTATGGTTTAAAACAAAAAAAAAGTTAATTAGTAAATTTGCGTTAAACGATAAGCCAAAGCTTTGGTTAACCGATAATAATAATTATACCGAAGTGATCACGTGAATTTATCTTGATTGATTCATTCTTAAATCCTATGATCGAAAATCGACAGATAATTCTTTTCACATGCTTGATTGTTCATAGGCCATTCTTCATCGCATCCATTTTGCGCACGTGGCTTTCCTATGACGAAGTTAGAATGTTAATTCAGAAGATTTTATCTCTGTACAGGATATGCTGACAACAGAATCTATTATTGCAACTTGTCGGAGTCAGAAGACTTCCCGATAGTCAAACCCATTTCTCATAAATCAGCTCTTGAGCATGTCAATTCTTTGCTTCCGTATATTACTCAAGATTGTGATAGTGAGCTTCAAGTTGATACTGCCTTCTTATCTAATCTAAAAAAGTTAAAGAGAACGATTGAGACTAAATAACAGTTACAGCAAACGAGTATTCTTGCATTTTATCATAATAAAGTTTATATATAGTGTTGTTATAAGCCGAAAGCTTGTGTAAACTATATATAAATTTGGCTTATTGCGAAATTTGATAAAACGAAAATCTCGATAAGCCGAATAAATTGTCTCATCCCGCGACCTTCGGCTTATCAAGTTTCACTGCATATGTATTTCTTAAAAACTATAATAAACCAATTTAACAGTAAGCCATTATTGTTGAGCAATTCAAGTTGAATCTTTTGTTTTACTGCAATTGCTTCAAATGAAGTAGTTTATTTTTTAAAAATTTATATCTCCACACATATCCAAGATATTCTAGCAGACTTTTTTTTTTTTTTTTTAAAAAAAACGTACCAACGGTAGTGCATTTAAAGTAAATAAAAGAAACCGTTATTTATTGTGTCCGAATTTGTCGATTTACGCGTATTACCCAAAATATGTCCCGTCTCGTGTGAATTTAACTAAATTCTCAGTGGTACATCCCATACTCTGCATCATCTTTAATTTGGCAGTATATATATATATTCTATATTACGACATAGTCGTGTTTTTTTTTAATACCCACAGACAAACTCTGTTATTTCTCATAGCAACTAGGACATCGAATCCACAATGGTAAAAGTAGCGGCCTCAGTGCTTCAGGCGGTATCGGTCAACCACTTTCGCTCCTACTTAAGCTGAACCATACCGTTACTGTAAACACTCCCAGTGTTGCAGCAGATTTGGGTCATATTAATACACCAGCGGTGGTTAATGGCTATTTGCCAGATAATAATGGTCTAGTGACTGGGTCTCATATTATTGTGATTCCTGCCGGGCTTCCTAGAAAGCCTGGTATGACAAGGGATGATTTATTCAAAATATGATGCGAAAAGATTTACGAGATTCTACTTTCGCTGCTAGAATAGGTTGATTATAAATCTCGGCCGTTAATATCTAATTGTTGATTTCCAGACGGTCAATTTTTAGTTGATTGCATGCATCTGTTACGCTTTGATCGAGTTTGTCACATCGATGAGTACGTCGATGAGTGGTTTTTGTACTTAGTTGATGAATAATAAATGTTCATACTATCAGATTGTACTACTATTAATTATTTGTATCCGGGTCTTAATTTAGGGGAAGACTACTTAAGGGGGATGCTATATTCAGTGTTCTACGGTACCAATGATTTGTTATACAGACTGTCTAACTTTTAACTTTAATAGGAAACTGCCTTAGTTTTTTTTTCTTTTTCATTTTATGCGATTTTCTGTACGCACAATAGGAGTTTTTCGCTTTTGTAGTTCATGATTGAAGAATAAAATCGAATTAAAGGCAAATTTCGGATTAAAGGGGTGATATTAACATGCCATTCCTCACGGATTACGGAGTACAGTGATTTTATTATAAAAATTCGGAATTTTATTATTGATGAATTGGGACCAGAAAATTTTTTCGGATTAACGAGGTTGACTGTGTATATAGTCAATACTTGACATCATCAATGGATACTGTTTAGTAGATTTCATCATGCTTCTCCTTGGGTCTATTACTTGATGCTTCCATAAGAATATGCGAAAAACGGATGTCACAGAGGTTTGACATTTTCCCGATTCAGGTATTTTCATATTCATAGGAGGCTGATTCCGATGATTTCCAAAAGCAAGCTTTATCTTCAGAAATAGCTCTTGTCACATATCGATCCTATTTACGCACTGCACCTTTCAATCTGCTTCTACACGCACAAAGTCGTCATAAGTATATTGTATGTCATTCCCATTGTTTGGAATGTCCTACGACATTGTAGATGCATATGTAAGGTGAAAAAAAAATAAGCCTCAGAGCAGATACGACAGGTTTGTTTGATATATTTAGCAAATGATCATCAATGTGATTTGCGATGAAAGTCATATTATCCTTGGAGATCATTCCACAAAAGAGAACGCCGACCATCTTTATTGGACTAAATAAATTATTATTATATATGGGGATATGCCAAACACCCCTTGACGTTGACCGTTTGTGAAATAGCGAGTTTCGTTATCGATAGTATAAAATAATGAAATAAGTGTAGACGCCGCAGAAAATTTCAGGGGTCAAGACTATAGTGAGGGGCACTATACGAAACACGATTAATCGATCGAGGCTATAATTTAGTAATAAATCCAATCTTTTTGCAAACTGTATTCTAGCTTTGTAAGTTTTATTTCACTATTAAGATACGCATTTTTTTGAGCTAGCTGCAACAGATTATGAATTATGAAGATACTACTAACCCTGGGTAAACTTAGAATGAAAAATAAATAGACGTTGTTTCAGAATAATGAGCCATATTCAATGATAATAGTATTTAGTAGACTCTCTTATGTTAACTTACAGATCTATAACCATTATCAAGAAACATTAATAGTTAGTGAAGTAAAAAATTATCGAATTTACAATAACCGATAAATTGCCAAGTCTCTGCAAAACTACGAAACAATACATATAGTTCTACTGTATTTGTTGAGAATATCAGTAATTAAGTAGATGCAAAACTGCATTAGAATCGAATGATTTCACAATACAGCAATTGATTTTTATATTTTATAGTTGCTTATTTTAGCTGGAAGTTTAGAAAGCATTAAAAATGATTCAACAAACCTTACTAGCACATACCGACTTAGAAGCAAATTATTAGCAGGTACGATAATCTGAGAAATAAATTACAAATCATAACTAAATTTAGTAATTTCATAAAGAAGAAAGTAATAATGGCTGTGCCCAATAAAGGACCCACCAAATCAAGAAAGTAATAACTGATAGACTCACCAATACACATACATTATCTTCGAGTTGATGAATCGAGATTATACAATAACAAATATAAGTGTAAAAGCTGAAGGTTTAATAATTAATTTAGCTATTGATGATTGGCTTGTTTGGTAAAGCACGAGGTACCCGACAAAACGAGGGAAATGTAGGAAAATAACCTGGTTCTATAAGCAGTTTAATTGTCGATTGAGTGTTCGAATAATCGCACATGGCTATAATCGCACATGGCTCTCACAAGTTGTTTAACGTTAAGACCACCAATCTTGTAAAGGAGAATATCATAGATAACCATAAATAGGATGATGGAAAAACGAAAGTGAGCAGATTAGACTGTTTAGGTAATTGTTGTGGCTTAAAAGTTTCCTGAAACCCTGTGGCGTATGCCGAACACCCGAAAGTTAAATTACGACATATGATATGTAGCATTAGAGATAGTTGAATAATATAGCGATATGTTATTATTATGGATATTATATATAATAATAAATATATTACCACATACGGTCAAACTCCCCTAACTGCACTCTCCCCCCCTTTCGGGACCTTACTACATGAGCATGCATTCAGAGAGGGAAATTACAGTGAAGGGTTTTTGTATAAACCTGAGCGTGCATTTAGAGATGGTGCGTGCATTTGAGATGTATTAGAGAAGTTCAGAGTGTATGAACATCAATGCCACATTGAAATAAATACACTGATTGTTGGTCGATCGCCCAATGATTATGTGCAATTCGTTAGTATTACGGTATCACTCTGCTGCATACTCTACATACATATGTGCATTGATGTGGCATTGTAATACCACATGTGTCGTGATGCTAGGAATAATGAAGTTAGTTTCAACTGAGATTAAATAGCCACTTCTATTCATTGTTCAAAATCTTACACAATCAGTAAACAAACTTTTACAAAAATACGCCCACTCAATCCATTTTCCCGTTTGATCCATCTCTTAAATTCGCCTTAATCCCCGTGATCTTTTTTTCTCCATACATATCTTCCCTCCTACATTTCCATCGGGCATATTGATATTTCGTGATTTTTTACTTTAAATCTCTTGGGCCACAAACCACTGCCCACCCTCTCTTCGTGCGCATCGCAGTCAATCTCATGTGCATCTATTCTTCCTCATTAATCACAAATGTGTTACTTAAACAAACCGGTAACGTCGATGTTTTCACATGTCAAATTATCCTACGTACATGAATTTTGTTGTTTTGGACAAAAGAATTATTATTTATTATTGTATTATGCGGATTATTCCTCCAAAGGAGAAAAAAAAAGCTTTATAAGCAGGTCTGATGACAAGAGGGGAACATTGTCTATGTTCAATATTGGAGTAAACTGACTTTCTCGATTCTGAGTAGCGAGAATTCATCCAAACTATCCCTCAACGCCTTCTGCAATCATTCATTCCACACTATTAACGAAACGGTACTTGTTAACGACCTCGACTCTTGTAACGATTGATTTATTATTATTACTCTATAACAATCCATCTTTCAGGTTGACGACACAAGAACAAGTTTAAAAAACTACAAAAACAACCCTTTCAAACCCCACCTCCCTTTTTCCCACCTCTTCAGCATAATCATTAAAAACAACAAAAAAAAATAACCCAATTTCTGAAAACCCATTATCATAATAACTGTTGAATATACTTTCGATATTATCCTCCTTTTTTTTTTACGAGAATCCTCTTTATAAAAACCCTTTTCTTGTGTTATCAACCACCAAGCACAAAAAGAAATTCTCTCCGCCAACAATTGAAACCATATCTCCTCTCCTACCACTCTACTCTTAATCACACTCCTCTTATTGAACTGAAACGAAACAAACCTATCTCCAATCTCCAAGTTTCTTCTCAATCGTGTTCACATTAAATCACCTACTTTAACGGTGTACACAATGGGTATTTTTTCGTACGTCGAAAGCTTCTTCTCCTCTCCTCCGCCTACTCAGCGGTTTGTGGACCGATACGTTCTTGTAACTGGTTGTGATAGCGGCATTGGAAATTTGATTGCAAAGGCGTTGCATAGGAGAGGTTATCATGTATTTGCAGGTAAAAAAAAAAAAGGGAGGGGGGGGGGGGGCAAAGAAGGGTGAGGGCGTGAAAAGGTGGGAGCGGCAGGGAAATAGAGAAAGAAGTAACTTGGGACGAATAAGGATATATTTAGAACAAAAGCACGTGTGGTCAATGATGTCAATTACGCATCAATACTAAACCACATTCCCATCCCATTCTTCACGCCAGGATGCCTTACCGAAGCAGGTTTCAGAGAACTCCTCACCAACCACCATTCACCGACATTTCACCCCGTTATTCTCGATGTAACAAAGGACACCTCGATCCAAGCATGCGCCCGTATGGTTGCGACCAATACCAAAGAAAAAGGCCTTTTTGCTCTGATCAACAACGCCGGTTGTAACGAAGGTTTTGCTTTTGAACTCACTTCTGCCGAGGAAATCACGAAAACGATGGACGTCAACTTTATGGGTCCCATCAAAATAATCAAAGCTCTTCTTCCTAATCTGCGTCAGAACATAAGGTACAACATACAAAAGCCGTCGAAAGAACAAGATATTTCTCCGCGCATTATAAATATTACTTCGGTTCTCGGCCGAACAACCGTTCCTTTCTATGGAGCATATGCAGCTTCAAAACACGCGCTCGAGGCAATGCTGGATACCATCCGGGTCGAATTGCTTCCTTGGAAAATTCATGTGACTATGATCGAACCATGCCCAATTCGCCCTCGAACTGGCACGCCTACCCCAGTGGAAACCTACAACCGACTGCACTCTTCACCTCACATCACCGAGCAGACATTGAGTTTATACGGAGAAGAATGCATCAAGCGTGCCGCAGATTTCTGGCAGAAACTTTATATCGGCGAGGATTCCCCAAGAGATGTAGTAAGAACTGTTGTTGAGGCGATGGAAGTTGGTTTCCCAAAGGATCGCTACGTCATTGGAACCGCTGCTAGGGTGCATGTTATGATGAATGATTTTCTGCCTCGGTGGGTTATCGACTTGGCCTGGGGTAGTATGATCAGGTTGATTGGCGCTTGGCCCAAACAGGCCAAGGAATTGGAAAACGGGGTTGTTACCACGGAATAAATGAAAGAAATGACAAAAGGACAAGTCTAAGATGAATGCGAAGAACGTGGATATAAAAAAAGAACAAAACAAATAAAAAATAACATAAAAAAACAAACAAACAAAAAAAAAGATGGTACAGGATGTTTGGTGGGAAAGAGGAAGAAAGGCGTTGGTGAAATGAGGTGAAAAGGTTAAACTGTAATTATGATTAACTTTCTTGTGGGGAAAAAATACTTGTAATAATACATGTACAAAGACTTTGGGAAAGAAATTTGACAATGCACAGTTACGAGGTTTGTATATTTTTTGTGACAACGGCGGCGATGCGACATTTCCCCTTCCCCCGGTCTTCCTATTATGCCACCTTATGCATAGTATATTTTTCCATGGCGCGTACACAGTATTACCCTAATATGCATTCATCCGACATTATTCTCTATCCTTTATTTCTTTCTAAATTCCCAATTTTATCAAGTTTCTATAATGCTATCTTATACTTTATGAAATTTAAGAAACAGTACTCGAAAAGTACGCAACGATAATTCAATTTATTTCCCTTCCGCTTTCAAGATAGCATTTTTTTGTTAATGATTCATGGTTTTTACTCATGCTTTACGTAAGTCTTCATGATGATGCCTTTTATCTTTTTGTTTTCAAATCTTATATTACTTTTCTTTTTCTTTCCAATGCAAGTGTTTTTTGTTTTTTTTAAAACAACCTCTTCAGATTGTTTTGTATCAAATTTGATTGAAAACATAACAAGAAAAAGTGCGAATTTTTGTGAAATTCTTTACCTGTTCGTTACTGAAAAAATGTTGAGTTTGGGTTGAGAGTGGATGGTGTAAGCGAGAGTGCCTTATAGATTGGTATGTTTCATCCGATGTGAATATCGAATCAATTTTTTGATTGGAAAATGAACTGGGAATGGTTGCTCATATGCAAAATACGTGACCAGGATCAATATACGAAATAAGCGTAGAACTTGAACGTTTATTTTACAGTCCGATCCTTGTTTCCAATTTTGAGGTTGACGAGCTGGCGCAGACGAGTAACGAATAGCGACTTGCCATTTCCGATGAGGTAGGCGTAAAAATTCGTTGCTTCAATACACCTCGACAACGATGACATATTAACGGAATCGAACTTAGGCCACGGCGAGAACATGCTGATTATTCGATATCAATGAAGTTTACATATGATCACGTGAGTATCCATCACATCACTAGTAATTCTAGTGAAAGTGAAAAGCCGAAGAGGATGGTAACAATAAATTTTCGTTCTTGATGCTCCCTCTGTCGATGAGAGTGATTTACATCTTCAGAGCAAATTTTTACTGTTTTTTTAGGCCAAATATATGATCGGAGATTTGCCCCACTTCCACGACACTATTGTCTGTCAAAACATCAAACGAAAAAAAGAAAGAAAACGTGGTTGGCTTTAGTCACAACTAGCTACGCAAATTTTGAAAGAGCTATATTGTCGTTCTCAGGCTCGTATACGCTTGGAACGCGGTTAAGGTAAGATTGAAACATGACCAAAATTTATTTCAAGAAAAGTTATTGGAATCATCAGGCTTATTATTATCTGTTCCTATACATACCCTAGGCCTTAATTCACCGACTTCATAAGGATTATTCTCTATTCACACATTTTCAAGACGGGCACTCTAACTGCACCCAATACCCGACCTCTTGCGTAATGTTACAGTCAATTTGGAATGAAGGCCAATCCGCCCTGTGATATTCGGTCGTTGGCTCGGCAAATGTAGCCCCGATGCTTACAAACGCGTAGCAAGCTGTCTAAAAACTTGGTAAGCACATTATAAGGTATAAGCCATTTTCAGAATTCCAGGACCTTACTTGGGAACGATTTTCGGCTTTAACGTTAATCGTCCTTTTGTGACCCCATTTTCTACAGATCTATGTTTCATGGCACCAGTCGACCAAGCGACTCATGTAGAACGACATGACCATGTTCTTCAGCTATCATAGCATAAACAAGACCTATAAACGTGAGGGTTTTGGATTTGAAACGACCTACAATTTTTCTCTAATAGCCATTCATTTTAGAACCCTGGATTAATCATAAATATTATCCCAATACCATAGTTACCTCTGATTCTTATCAATAGATTGGTGCTTCTCATCGTCAATGTATACAATCATGTTGTTTGATCTCTAATATCAGCTTTTCTTTGTCATTGGATTGACTATCCTACACGAACTACCCACAATCGTATCTTTGGGTGATAGTAACACTCCATGTAACCACCAACTGTTTACTCAGTATAGCGCACAGATTTGTCCCTATAATATGAATATAGTAAATTGTTGGACCAACGTAGTTTATAGTTGACTGCACTTACAGATATATTAATATGGAACTATCTGCTACACTCTAATATTCCCCTGCTCCCTCGAACAAATTGATAACTTTACCTCTAACACGTCAAATGGGCAACAACAGATCAAAGAGTTCATTCTGATAAATTCTCACACTTGTGGGGGAAAATTTGAAATTTCGATTTTCAAGTACACAAATGTTTGATTGGATAATATTTTCCAATTCTGTCCAACACAATCTTAAATCTACCTATTTTAAGTTATAAATTGACAAAATTTATTTGTTTGTCCCAAATCTTTATCACACTGTATATCAAACCGATTTCATGGTCACGACAATAACATTGAAATCGATGCGCAAGACTGGAGTGTGAATAAAGTATTGTCGCTAGGCGGTCTTTTTAACTATTTTAAGATTTAATATGCGTATTACAATGATCGGGGGAATTAACTAGTTTCCCTTTCAAGTTAGCTAAACGTTCTTAGAATGTTTTTCATAATATTAGAAAATACTTGTACTGAATGTCATTTTTAAAAAAGGTATGTTATACAACAGTGAAGTTGATATTTCAGATTTCTGTTTAGCTTTAGATTCAAACATGCTAAATGATGTAATGCAAAACTCCGGGCTGAACAATGATACAAACGTGAATCTATTGTCGCTGATGAAGCCAACGCGATCTCATTGTACTTGAATGACGATGCAGGCATCTTATAATTTTTAGCAAACAACCGTGCCAGTTTCAATTAAAAAGAAGTCATATTTGCTTAACAAGATCTAGGATCATCTATCTGAGCCACAGCTATACCATTAAAGCAAAACCTTTTCCAAGATGTCATCAGTTATTTAGTTGACATTTCAGCCACATCAGCCATTTTTAGCTCATGCAGTCAAATGTTCACTTTGTCTGGTTTTGTTGCAGTCTACCCCATATGAACAAGCAAATTTATTTTGGAAAAGGGCTGTTCTCAGCAATGTTCCAAAAAAAAAAGGTTGTGAATTACATAAAGCCTTTCAAACTATTCTAGATCATAATCAGCTAAAAGTCAAGAAGGGATTATTTAGCAATGAAAGAATTACCAGCTTACCAAACAGCAAAAAGAAAAATATTGGTAAGTAAATAAAAGAGAAAACAAAAAATTCTTTTCAACCTTATTATTCAGAAATTAAATATCTAATGTGAGGCTGGAATGTCAGGATATAGAGCTCTGGAAATAGCAAGGAAGGTAAACAAAAATGTATTTTTTTTTTTATTTCGAAACTGCTCCCACTATTCACTAAATGGTGACTCATAATACTGTTGATATTGATAGATTAATATAGTTTTTATTTATGGTAAATTAAAAATGGATGCTTTTGTAGTCATTTAAATGCTTTCACAAACTTTTGAAAAATCAAACTACAGTCAACTCTCTTTATAAGGCCACCCTGGGCAAAGCAAAATCAGACCTATAACCAGTGGTTCTTACATGCAGCATAGTAATAGTAATAGTAATGACTTGCTAATTTTAATGGTGAGTAAAATGGCAAAGCACAGGTGGTTACTATAAGGCATTGGACCATACAAAAAAGGTCCTTATAAAGAGTATTATAATGTTAAGAAATGTACAGGTCTTACAAAAAGTTAGTCAACAATTTTGTTTACAATATAAGTAACAATGCTTATCATTATTATATTAAAAAAAAGATGCTATGCTAAAATATATTATCGTAGTAGTAGTGGATGTTCATGCCCTTTGAATATCAAACTTATGCAACCATTCTTGAAACAGGGTGGTTTAATAAAGTACACTATAATATATAAAGGAAAATATATTATTACATGTGTACACTTCATTGAGCTGCAGTCTATTCGTCAGGTGGTGCAAATTCTTACCTTGTTTTTTTTTTTTTAAAAAAAAATGCTGGTTCCATGGCAAATTTAATGTAAATTAGGTTCATATTTTTTTATGTAGACATGGTCCAATATTGAACATCTTAAACCTCAAAGCAAAAAGTTCATCTCTACCAAGTTTTATGTTAATCACATTTGATATGATACATGGATTCACACATGAGTCACCGCTGACTAAATCGGAGCCTACCAGCCATTTTGAATTCATGTGATCAAATTTTCACTTTGTCCCCACGTACAAACTATGGCCCAATAAGAATAACGGGGGCAGGCGGGACAATCGACTATCACAAATTTATGCTTTCATATCAGTAAACATTTAGGGCGCATTGAATGTTACTTTGTTTGTATGTACCAGGCGACTCATAGTTGAACACAAGACATAAAAATGTCAGCAAATGTGTGCCGACATAGGTGTTGCAATAACAAACTTTATATTGTACTATTAAGATTACATAAGAATTTCGAACAAAAAAAATCTATTTCATTTATTCGAAATTGGTAGCAAGTATCGTACGCTTATTGTATCGCATAAGGTATTGTATGTAACTGAACTTTAATAACAATAGAAGAACTGACTCGATTGCGCCAATTTTGTGACATTGTCTATTGTAAAACCAAACAAAGTGGTCTTCATGTACAGTCAAAGAATAGCACTTGTGTACAACAAAGACAAAGTATAAAACTTGTGAAACGAAGTGGAAGAAGAAATATTCGTCATCTGAAATATGCCGGCATGAAAGAGACATGGTTCCAATTTGACACAACTACAGTGGTTTTTTATTTACCCTGGAAAATTGACACTATTTCATGTCAAACAATAATCATTGCGTGGGGAGTAGTCAAGTTTCAAACTCTTCTGTGTACCCCATACAATTGTTTCATTATCAACTGGTTCGCACAATCTGCAAGCTATTAACATTTACAAAATACTGACAACAATAAATAAACTTTTGGAAAATGAGGGATCTTTTAAACGACTTGTATCCAATGAAAATAGCAAGCTTTATCATGCTTGACCATGCGTGTAACCCATCACTTATCTGATGACCAGTTAGGTATAGGGCGTATGACGCCGTCAAACATAAGTTTATGCATACTCACTTCGAACGCAAGCTTCTAAAAGCAAGAGTTGGGAACTCCGATTTGGTCTTTGTGCCAAGACTGGATGACCGAATATACTCAAATTATTAAAGCTAGTCACGTTGACCTTCCAAATATGCACGAGGCATGGGAATTTTAATCAATTTGATTAAACTTTGACTCTCCAAAAGTATGGAATGCCCCGAGTTTTATTGTCGATAACGAATATTCTGTAACACGCATTCTGACAAATGAACTCGGAGGCAGTATTCACGGACGTCGGCAACTGTTACTTAAAACAAGAGAACAGGAATGCCATAGACATTTACATTTTTGACATAGGATAAGGTACACATGACTGTCCAACGTCATACACATGCAAGTCCTGTACATATATAGAAGTCCGTTGTTATAGTGGCATTGTTACTATAGACATGGTATCGCATCTTCCGAAAGGCGCACCTTTTTATTTTTTGACATGCATTTGAAACTATGGACCCGTGTGAGTTGCTGAAGGTTTTTACCAATAGTTCGTCATGTGTGTATTCAACAATTACGACAAGACCGCTGCTACGACATATTCCACATGAAATTTTCGTCGAGTCAAATTTGGAAGGCTAACGTGAGATTTGTCAACAAAGAAGTACAAGTGCGGCTTATATTGTCTTGGCACCGGTATTGCAATTTCTAATACGATAAATTAAACGTAGCTTATATGGCGTATCTCACACACAGTACAGCCATATTTTATATTATGGTGAAATGTTAATAATATTGATAGTAAAGAAAAAGTCTTATCCGCAGCAAAAGTAAACTATTGCTAATACTAATCTCTCAATGCAAAAGACGAGGTTCAATGCAAGAGACGATAAATTTAGTGCCTTTGTACACCGGCGAATTTGCTTTTATTATCTGAATGATTGTTAAAGATCATATTAGATTTAATATCGCTCCCCAAAACTGTCAATGATCGGCCAAATTTTGTAACATACAAACTATTGTTTTCAAAATTTAAGTTTACTATTAAGGTATAGAAATTGTTTCCATTATAGGCATTTATGCGAAGATCACCAGAATTACGATCATCCCCAATACATCTCTACCAAAATGTACAATAGTAAAAATCGCAAAAGTTTCAAGAGACAAAAACTGTTGACATGCAGTCAATCTTCTTCGAAGAAACAATACTAGCCGGGAAAGAGACTTTGCTTTACGAAAAGCGTTGGAGGAAACGATGGTATTGGTGAATATAATAAACGAGACAGTTAGCCATGAGTATTACGCAGTCGCCATGCTGAATAAGGATCTGCGAGCATTCCATGCATACGTCTATGACTATTCTTTTGACTCATAGCAAGATGCAAGGCCAAGTTTAAGAGACCTATCCTAACTAAACGCTAACAAAGAGGCTGTTGTCGAAACAATATGCAAGGGGGCTGAGAAAAAGTTTATTTGTAAAGAGCATTATTATTAAAAGAACAAAGAACACAGGGGATTATCCGGTTTAGATACGGGATTTCTTCCGTGTTCAAGCGCAAGTGGTCAAACACATATTTTAGTTATATTACACAAACTGATAGATTGATAACTAATGCGGACAAGGAAAAAACTGAAAGCAAACAATTAGAGACCATCGATAACCATAGAATACAACTAGCAGAGAATCACCGTTATCGTCATATCTCTCCGGCGGCTCTTATTCCTCAATATACAGTATATACATAGGATGTACCGTCCGACAAGACGAGAGCAATATAAAAAAGTACATATTATAGAACGTATACCCGCTATTTTGCTATCTCGTTGACATACGCTGCGTTGAACATTAAATTTAATATCTGGTTGATAATCTTTGAACCGGGTCAGATTGTTGTTTTTTTGTTTGTGTGACAATCCATCCCTTACCCATTGCCTCGATATAGTAACCAACCTGTTTGTATATGCACCAATGACATTCTAAACAGAAGAATCTTTGTTCCTGCACAGTGGCTTGAATGAGCTTGGTCTTTGTTGCATTTAACGGCCCCAGATTGGTCTCGATTCCCAGTTGGGGCGCAACCTTGCAACCTTATCTGAACGTTATCTCGTAGAATTTGTTGTCTTGGTACGGAACTGACATACATAATTCAGATTTTAAAGGCAAAACTCACTGCACGTCAATCTGTTATCCTCTGTGGTTATCGGTAATTAATCTGTGCTTACCACCTCTTTGTATGTATGCTATATGCGATTAATATGCGTGCTCTATTAAAATGTATACAGTTTTTTAACAATGTTGGATGAACCGTTATGGAAACTGGTAATCGTGCGTACTGGTATCCTTGAGTTAATGTGTGGTTAGAGGGGTTAGCGTATGAGCCATATATTAATTGCGTCTTATAAACATGTAATAATTACAACTTTTACAATGTTGCTTATTAGGTTAAAAGCCTATGATGTTAGGGTGCACAATAATTGTCTATACGTTGGAACGAAGAGATTGCATTCTCACACAAATTTTGGGATTCTGATTGCTTTCTCAATGTAACCATCACAGCTCCTGTTTTACAACACAAGTACACCAAGTTAATTATTGGTATATTACTGTTTTGCAAATGGATGCACAATTAAAGAGCGCGAGATTGCAACGTTTTATTTGTGCACTTGCTCGAATGTCTTTTTATACTCTTCTTTTGTCTTCAAAAGAATATTGACATATATTTGTAAATGCGTGATAACTATAATAGCCCGTGCAGTATCTAAACCTATCCACAGTCAATCCATATCTATTTGCATCGTTCTTGTTCTTTCCCATCAACTATGCCCCATCACTCTATAACCATATTAAGCATTCATTGGCGTTTGAGATTGCAAGGGGTAAATATAGATTGTTCTATCTTGATTATAAGGAGTACAACATATCGAGTCAATACTTGAAGAACTCTAAAATGCAACAAACACTTTTGTAAATAAAGACTTGGTATTTCAATATGACAAGTACAACAAAAGCAACGAGAATTAAACACACGGAACGTCCCTTACCGGATGATCATATAAGCATATATATATATCAAGGGAATATTCACATGTCAATCAACAAAATATTTAATAACACTAAATGAATACATCTCCTATTATATCAAGCAGTACTATCGAGACCGATCTGTGCTAACCATATCTATTATACTTGATTCTCTTTTACATCGCGTTCTGAACAGTTAGCCTTACAAATAAACGCACATCATAAACAAAAGAATATTACGTGAGAACCAATATTAAACAATAAGTTTATTTATCCTTTGTCTGCCATTGATGCAATGTCTCGCCATTATTACACATATTCTTTACTCTAATGTTATTACGGCTATCGAGATTTTTTATTTGTACTAGTATTAGTGCTCTAATGTTATCGCTCATGTGACACATGTCATGCTTATGTCACCTCTATTTTATCTTCTTTTTGCCATGACTACGTTCCAAAAGTCTGGTATTCTACACTCGCTTTTTGTATCTTTTGCATCAAAAGATGGAAATTTTTTTCTCACCCATACAATCAATGAATTTGAGAAACTCGGTCCACAAACACAATAACGTCAGCATACTACTGCATCACGTGTACACATCCTTTTCAACGGCCCGCATTTTTGTAACACAGAAAATTAATATAAATTAAACGTGCCGAAATCCAACAAGTTGAAAACTCTCACTAAATCAAACCAAGGAAACCCACACTCTCTCTCTACCTTACGTAAATTCTCAATACCAAACTCTCTTCTCTCATCATGTCCCCATTCATTCCTCACCTAATTCTGCGTGACATTTTCCTTTACCTCTCGTCAGAGGATTCTTCGATAGCCCTTTCTGCCCTTCATTCATGTATGCTAGTAAATCATCACTGGTGCTCAAACGCAGTTCCCATCTACTGGTCCAAACCATTCCGTCATACATCCGCTTCGCTTATCAACACATTTCTTCATTCACTTTCCTCATCAGAGCGCGATGCAATTACGCGAGTACACGATATTTCTCTTCCAACAACCAAACCATACCACAACTATCCACTATACCTGAGAGATTTTGATTACTGGGCTTTTATGAAATCGATTAAAGCGTATATTGCAAAAGCAACGATGACAACAACCAAAGGCAACGAGTCGAATACATTGAATGGGGCCAGAGGCAGAAGAAGAGAAACACACAAGTCTGATTACGAAAATTTACGCCACGTAATGTCAACTGAAATTATGAAGATGTTTATTCGAGTGGGCGTAAAACTCTATCACCTAAGAGTCCTTACATGGGAAGATCAATTGGACAGTAACGAATATTTATTACTCTTACAACCAGAATTACACTCGCTTTTAACCCCCGTAAGAGAACTCGAAATAGCAGCCTGCTACCAAAAGTCTGTCTTTCTATCATCCCTAGCGAAAATATGCCGCAATATACTTTCTATGCATTTAACCTTAGCCAATTGGGGTTCCCCCGAGGACAACGGGAAAGCGGAAATGCTCGGCTTGTCTGAGCTCATAAAGGCTCAAAATTCTCTAACACGAATACAATTTTGGACATTCAGGCATTACGGAGCTAACATAGGATATGTATTAGAAGCAATTCAGACACAGGCCGAGTTTTTAACAGATATACATTTTCACGATGTCAATTTTACGGCTACAAAGCCGTTAAATAATATTGCAGCATGTTATAATTTAGAGCGACTAACGCTCAAAGGTTGCGATCTTAACGGTAGTGCAGTATCGCCGCTGTTATATGCAAGGTTTCCTAGATTAGGTAGGGTAGAGGTATGTTCTTGTCATAATAATGAATTAAAAGCGTGGGCGGCGTGGATGAATTCACCATTAAAATTATGGCGTAGGGGTGAATCGTTTATAGATACGTCTTGGCAATTACAAATGTGCACTACATGACATTATTATTATTTTATATATTGAGAACATTTTTTATAGTGCACAGTAATTGCTTGTCCTCCCCTACATCAAAATGTCATCCACTCCGCCCATTCAAAAAAAAAAATCTATCAAGCCACTGCAAGCAGCAGTGAATTTTATGTATATTTTTACTTGGGTTATTCATTTAATTTTAATAGTGAAAATTTAAGTTATTAGTTATCCTAATAATTTTGATTTTGTCTTATTTGACGATGCGTTTTTCGTTTGTCAAAAAAGAAAAAAAAGAAAAAGAGTTTGATATATTCATGTAATGATAAATTCACCATGAACAATCTTATTGATGTGAATAAAGAAAATTGTGTTTCGTTCATGAGAAAAATTTAAATAGCTCCGAATTTGTTTGTTTCTCGACATCAATTAAATGCTTGTACGGCATGTCTGCAACCAATGACAGTATACGATAAACAAGGTAGAAACAACCATTTTTTTTATTTGGACAACAAGCAAAATGTAAACATGTTTTATCACCTCACAGCGGGTTTCCTTAGTTTGACTCGTTGATCGCATGTCGGCTCAAAATATTTCTGACCCACTTAACCTAAAAACTAGTCTAGTCAATAAAAGTTAATAATTGTAACGGTTCTTTCCCTCATTTGAGTATTCGTAAGTGATAATGGAGCTCGAATTGTATTGTAAGAGTATCCAATGGCACCTAGTCAGAGAACACTTACAATAATTTAAGAGTAATAATAGGTGAAACACAAAAGACGGCAGAATTTAAAACGGAAGGACTGGACTCGGAGACTGTGCACGCTATCGTCTTGTAAACTAAGAGGGTAAACAAAAACGCACAAACACAAACAAATATTAAATTCGGATGGATTAATTGCAGGGAACTTCCTGATTGATGTTCTGTCACTATTGCTGCTGTTGCTGTTGTCGCTAGTAACAATAATTGCTATTGTTGTTTATTGTTAAGGGGTAGGGTAACAGTTTTTGGTATCAAAACTTGGTTACACAATAAATATGTTTCAATAAACAACGCCCCTATTGCAAACGACATTTATGAGCTAACTGATTGTATTCTTCGGAAAAATCTATTCATAACTTTATGCTTATTGCGGCTGAACTGTGCGTATTACAGGATATGGGTCATAAAATGAGGGTCTGTCTATATAGCGACCTTGCAACCATAACCTGGTAAAAACTTGTTACTACCAGTATCAACGGCGAAAGACACATTATTGTGAGTCCTAACAGTCAACTCCCTCTCGCTAACTAAATAAGTAGTTTATTCAATTACCCTTGTGACGGAATATCATTATAACCATGCACACAGTATTTGACATATTTTTCACAAAATAGATTAGCTAATAAGGTTGGCTTCTATGTAAACTTCAAATACAAGTCATTTGATAATGCCGATGCCACAAGCAATTACGATTCCATGTTCCGTATCACAAGATGTAAAGACCACATTTGCGTTATGTCACGCCACAACTTAAGGATTGTAATAATAATAAGAGCACCAATCTGTCCAACCTTATATGAGAAGCTTAAACGTTATTATTTGATGCTGCAGGATATCGGATAAACAAAAGTTCAGCTTTGGAGGTTGATGTCACCGAATTAATTGATCACAATAATTGAATTGACGATCGGATGGATGTATGACACCCGATTGAACACTGATATTGCAAACGTAAATTTGGTTACCGTTACATCACATGTAGATCATCCAACAATAGAATTTACTATAGAATAACCCCCAGAATATTCTTCAAAAATAAGTAATAAATAATGTTCAAATAACATACTTAAAATGGTTATTGTCGACGACGATCAAACACAAGCAAATATGGTATTTCATTGATGCTGGGGTGATTTCGAAAACTCAATAATAGTCAAGAGTAGTAGCTAGCTAGCAACATGATGTCATGTGTATAGAGCTTCTTATCGATGTTAAAAAATAGTACAGACACAATAAAGTTTAAGGAATTTGATAAAGCCATTGCTCTAATAACACGTCAGGTAAATGTGGTTGAGTGTAAACCTTGAGTCGTGGTGCAATTTTCTTGGCATCTCTATTTGGTGTAATCAATAACGTAAGCGCGAATCAACTGAAGAAATACAATTCCACGTAGGCATTTGCACACGTTTATGAAATTAGTATTTCTCGAATTATTTATTGGTATTGGATATAGGAAATTGGCCATTCTAAATAAAAAGTTCTTATTTACATTATTTACTATCAGTACATTTATCAGTATCAGAAAGTTTACACAGTTAATTCTTGCTGTTCTCCAAAATTGATAATCGCGCGTCCAAAATAATTAATAAATAAATCATGTTCTACGCTAAATTATTGTTTAGAAACTATTTTAAACGTGACGTAATCTTGAATCCAGTCCACTCATGAATTTTATCTCGGGCAATATTCAATTGCGTGAGATACGATTGCAAAAAATTCATTGCATGCACAAATAAAGGATAGTTGAGTTGTACAGCAGTATGGAACAAAAAACTGCGTCATACTTTTCAGAATTGTAACAAAACGATTGGTTCACTAATCCATTATATAATTACTCTAACATACAACTATTACGAGACAACCCCTTTGGATTACTATAACCACGTGTACGCGTCATGATAAAAACAATCAAGTTTTATTAGTCGCAAAGGCAAGCAAGGGCCCATAATTAATAGAGCATTCTGTTTGTAGTATCCAAGCATTGCTTATTAATGTTAATTACAAAATCAATTATGTTGAGAAAAGTCAAAGTAGAATCGCCTTTTAATTTTTAATGAAACTTTTAATGTTTGATGCTGAACTACGGATAGAAAAGTTATCTACCCGTAACCATTATAAATATACCGAAATTGACTGTTACCTTAATATATTGTACTTAGTTAGCGTATTGAAAATTAAAATGCGTAAAAGGGGTAAAATCAATTACGTTTTTGACTGTCAAATGTACGCAAAAAATAAAGTTTTTATAATATTAATCATTAATTAAAGCATTATCTCTAATTCTTATCTTGATAGAACAAACAATGTACATCAACTTCTCAATAGACTTGGTTATTGTTTAGTCAAGCTTTCTTCGGATATCACTTGTGCTTTGCGCACTGTTGAGGACGCTCGCAATACGAGACGGAAGCACCGCAATAACTGACAAAGATTATCTTGAAAAGAAAATATAGTAACAAACCACGAAATCAACATTACGCATGACTTTTATCGCATTGACCAATAATGCTCGTTTTCGAATGATACGCAATAACATTCATTTCATGGAAATGACCTGATAATCAAAATCACCTTGCTCGCGAGGATACATTCAGTTTAATGGGATCTACGATGATCAGATGATAATTGTCAAACCCAAGCCGTAAAAATAAAGTAATTATGATACAATATCAGGAAAAATGGTCCAATATCACATAACTATTAATTTGATTCGCTCAAAGGGTGATATTTAATACTTTTAATAGTTGTGTTACCGATTTGGCTAAATCTTTGATTAAAGATATCATCTAACGGAAAAGTTAGTTAGATTCTTCGACTGTGGCCAGAGTATGTTTAAGCCACATCATCGGCCAACCAGAGTCTTCACAACATGTACAGAGTCGTCATTTAGTATCTCGAACCTTGGTGAAATTACTATATTGCGGACTTTATCAAATAAAAAAACTTTTTTTCAAGCAATGTATGCTGCAGTTCTATGCTTACCGAAATATAAGAGATTAATAATCCTTATCAATCTGCTGTGACGTTCAATAACGCCTCGCACACTTATCACGAGAAATATGCGAGTTTTCGGGCAAACCGATTTCTCGTATTGTAAAGCTTCTGTTACATTGCGTTTTTGTGATGCAACTCTTCAATAGGGTTAGTTTAGTGTAAGGAATGTATGAAATGTGCCATCAGGAAAAATTATGTGCCGGCGAAGAATGCGAGTACAATTACTAAGCGTTAGAGAATTGCCTAAGGGCTAAATTTTTCACATGAAACAGGGTTGATTAAGGACCCTATTAATACACTATGATACTATTTGATACACAGTCAAGATATTAAAAAATTTTTTTATCTGCGGCTGCAGGTCGACCTTTAAGGAATTAACCGTATGATCTTTCCCTTTCTTGGATGTTTACTTGGTGATTCGTCCCCACCGAACTAGGTTTTTTATTTTTAAATGGTATGTGATAAAATAAATTACGCCAGGCCTTTGTTTGTTTTCCTTATTGAATTAGAAACTGATTGGGCGAAATTGGTCATCCGATTGGTATGTGATCCTGAATGACCCTGGTTAATATATTCCAGATATGTCACGTGAGCAAGCTTGGAACCGAGAAGAACAGAGACGGGCTCCAAGTAACTGTTATTCTGCGGGTTTGCAACTTGATTAATTAGTATCGGACTAGATATGTACGTATAGCATTTTATATTTCTGTAACGCGTGTAAAAGCGCTATATCGATGTATACGCATAAAGTGATGACAATCCACTAGAAGCAATCCTAGCATATGTATGGTATTGCCATCCAACATTTCGTTTGGTTCTTATTCAAACTGATCACTTTTATTCTCTGTCTGTGCGATCTTTCCAGATTCAATCGACTCTAATCATAAATCACAATTTTAATCAATTCCTTCTCAGCAGTCGCGATAGAAAAACATGACCATTGTGTTAAACTCTTCCGGTAGTAAGATGAAATTCTTTTCGATCCAAAAAATATGCCAATGTGCTGCTATATCGGAGAAGATGTGTTATCGATCAGAATTGGAATAATAAGATGATCCGTTTTTACATCTGTGACAGAAAACTGCTAAGGCTGCGTTTAGACAGTAGTACGTGAAGATGCAAGGCTATCTACTAAAGCCAGGAAATTAGTTGGTAATATTAATATATATGTTGGGAGGAGGGGGGGGGAGAGAATATAATTTCGTTGTTAATGATATTTGATGGATGGCCAGGGTGGGAAGGAAAGAGAGATTTATGATGTAGTAAAATGATAAAAGGAGATGAAGATATCAGATATAGAGGTGGGGGAGAGGAGGAACCAAAAGTACATGATGTATATGAGATCCAGATAGTCCATAGAAAAGATGCAAATATTAACGACTTAACCGTCATTTTCAGGTATTCATGTTTATAAACGTCTTTGGCATTGTTGTATTCAAGCTTGACTGGTTTTTATTTTAAGGCAATTTCCATCAGGTATTTGATGTTTACAAACGCTTCTTAGCATTGGCATATTCAAGTTTGACTGGTGCAATTTCCATCAGGTGTTCGTGTTTATAGCATTGTTATATTCATTTAAGGCAATTTCTCTCCCCTGCCATCTTTACAATAAAGACGATGCTCGGAAACTTATATATAAAGGGTGCCGTTACTATGATTATCTCGGAGGAGGAACTTTACAGTATCTGCAAATGGCCAACTTTCACATATTATCAAGGCTATAGTAGAAATTCTTGCAGCAAGCCAAACTTTTATAACATTAATACCCGACCTTTGCTTAATTAAAACCATGCTAACAACCAGCGTGTTTTATCGAAACAGAACATGGAAACTCTGATACCGATTAACAGCGCAACAGGGAGAAGTTCTGAACAAATATTATGTAACATGACAAGAGATTTCGAATCTTATTATAAACATTCTTAAGTAAGAAGCCGCCTCGTTAACGGTAGTGATGGTGAAAATAGTTGCGTTTATTTTAAGGACCGTGGCAAAAAGGTATTCTCTTTCAGGTACGTTGCCGATATATTTCCGTTTGCAGAGCGCTATCAAAGTGTGAAGGCCTCTGGGGAAAACTCTTGCGACTTGGTTTCGTTATTTGACTAGATTAGGCTGAACACAGCATAATTAGAGTTCTTCATATATAATCGGCAATGTGTACTGTACCCGAGAATTCCTTGTCTGCTAGTTTCAGAATCACAGATTGCATACGTTGCAATTGTATCTAACTCTACAGTGTCCGCGGAAGGTAATATTAAACAACAACACGCTAAGAGGAATGGTGAGAAGACGGAACCTCGTCACTTGATCTAACTCGGGTGTTATCGCATTCAAACTACAATATACAAGTAGCATTATATTAGAAAATAGTGATGCGAGTAACAAAGATGACAGAATCCATTGACTTATACCGTACACGCAGATTCCAATAACGTCAGCAGCATGGTAGTAAACTTACGTGTCGGCGATAGCGTTTTTCGCATTCACCGTGAGTTAATGCGGTGAATATCTCCATTTGCATTGACTTTTCAGTTACATGACGTGATCCCAACTGTTTACCATCCACCGTTCATTCTATATATATCCGTCGTGCTCTCAAAGCACCCGGGAGAAATTGACAGCATTGTTGCTATCATACCATTGACGAAGATCGCGCTTCTCTTCTTCCATTGATAACGCATCTCGGGTTCCTAAAATGAACATAAAGCATTGATAATAGAACGATAGCAATCACCACCACATACACATTCAGTCAAATCTTTTCAACGTACAATGAAATTTGCATACATACGCATGCTCTCCTACATAAATACGTTCTTTAACTGAATAGAAAATTCACATCCGCGCGTATAGCTCTTGTACGATACGATATCGACCAGATGGTTATATCTACACTTTAGAATTGCTATGAGCGCGATCATTAGTGGGATGCTTCTCTACACATTGAAGGTCAAAAAAATAGAGTAAGTTGTTAATAGTTATCGTTTCTTGAATATCTGAATCTGATAGCAATGCCCAACCTGCCGTAAGTCGGCATATATCAGAGTCCGAAAGAATTTGTTGAGTTATATATATTAATATATATACCTCAGTAAAATGTATTTGGAGTGGTATGCGAATCCGAACTTATTTGCCGAGTATTCGGTTAAGAAGGGGGGAAGAGGCTGATTGCTGAATATAAGCGCGGTGTGTGGTTTGTAACATTCAGTTGAGCAGTACACCCTCGCTAAGGAAGCAGATAGACCGTGGGTTATCACACAAAACTCACTTGACAAAACGGTAGATTATACACAGTTGAACGTCTGTCTTTCTGTGGAACACTCGCCAAACGAAGGATAGCGTTACGCCATACCGATAGAGGAAGACTCAGAAGGCAAAAGACCCTTCTATAATGGAAATGGTGAGGCTCTGCGTGTCAAGTTGGCGGAATAACGTGATTAATTGAATGTCACGCGACGTAATGTAATTCATATTTTAAACATCTTGAATGACATCCTCATAATTCCAATTCTTAACAATATAACTAAACAATATAACTAGTCTTTCCTTTTGTCACCTATTTTTCAAAGACAAAATCGGAGACGGGTCAAACGAAAAATGAGGTGATAATGACGACATAAAGTAATCAATCCGCATATTAGCGTGAGTAACAGCAGAACGAAGCCTCTGACCCAAACTTGTCGCTTCTTCAATGAGCAACGCACGGAGCATAGCTGATTTGTCTTTGGATCTTTCATCAGACTACACGAAACTTTATGAAAATGGCAACTATACAGATACTTCAATTCATGTTGGAAAAGATCCAAACAGCAAAATATTTCTTGCTCACGCGTCGATATTATGTGCAAGAAGTTCGTACTTTGAGCATGAATTAACCGAGATTGCTGATGAAGTCCCACGATCAGTTGTAATGGTCGAAGACATAGAACCCGATGTGTTTGAAATTTTGCTTAGGTGAGACTTTTCGACTATAGGATATTAAACAAGCAATTATACAGTGGTTTATTTGTTTTATATATGATCTCGTAGGTATATTTATACCGGAAAAGTGTATAGCGACTTGCGTGATATAGATTGGATTGGTCTTTTAAAAGGAGCCAACACGCTTCAGATGTATACTTTGACTCCAGCGATCGAATATTATTTGATCAACGAACAAGAAGGATGGTTACGAAGGAATATTCTCTCAGTTTATGAGTTTGCTTCATCAATGGAATCAGTACGAGGACTTTTTGATTATTGCGGTCAAACCGTGTTGTCGTTCCCAGAAATAATCTTAAAATCTGACGATATCAGTATGTTGCGAAAAAACATCCTACTTGCTATTATCGAGAATGATGAGCTTAATATGGACGAAGAGGATGTTTGGATGTTGGTTTTACAATGGGTTATTAAGCAATTTCCTGGTCTTTCGGACAATCCAGTAGATTGGTCTGACCGAGATACTAACACGATCAAGACCGCTATAGCTGATTTTATACCTTGTATACGGTTTTTTAACATTTCCTCTGGGGGATTTAGTAAAAAAATTATTCCATATGAAGACTTGCTACCAAAAAAGCTGTGGCATGATTTACTGCACTACCATATAGAAAAAAAAATCACGCCAGGTGTTCAACCATTGCCACCAAGAAATAGACAACAGCCGCCAACAAAAGCCAAAAGGCTTGAATTACTTGTGACGCGAAAACATGCAAGACAACGTCATACGGACAAAGGATATTTTTTCCTGGTATCGTGCGGGAGTATGCTTATTTTTAGCCTTATTGGATACTGGATTTATTTACTATTGGTATTGGCTATTATTATAGCTTTGTTGAGAAGACGTCGATATTAAACTTACAAATATATTGTATCATCAAGTCAATTATTACTAAAACGTGACAATGAATAGGTAAATGAATGAATATCCTTTCAACGATAGAATTTTCACGTGACCCTACAATGTTGCTACGCATTTTATTCATTACTAAAGTCGCTATTAACTGTTTCAACGTTTTAATATTGATTATCACGGGTATTCATAACAAATCTCATTTAAAATGATAAACTTTTTATTATCATAGCGCACTAAACAAATACTTAATGAATAATAATTACAGAAATCAACAAAGTTGGAAGACATTAAAACTCTTGAATTTGTTGACAATTGATACAAAAGCAATTCTCAACAAATAAAGAGACGAACAAAAATCTAAACTTAAAAGAAAATGTGTTAAACCGCTTATCCAAAGAAAGAACAAAGGCAACAATTAGGTCATGTTCATTACTAGCTTCCTCGGAAGTTTATCGTCCGGAATTACAAAATTATAATTCGGTTTTAGCAAAATCTCTTTTCGGTAGTTTGCTAGTGGTACACTTTTCCCCAGTCAAAAAGTGGTGGGCTTTGATGTTAACTTCTCGTTGACCAAAATTCAACGACATTTCTGTTCCGGGAACGTCTTCGTCATCTTCAACCTTTGGTACTTCGGTTTTCCATTCGTGCAGCAAGGATACGTCCTCTTCAAATGGACTTAGGACATTATATCTTCGCGTGTAGTACACATTCATGCTCATTTGCTTTTGCCGTCTCGACACTGGGTAATATATTTCCTTGAAGGTTGACCCTACGGTAACCTCGTCACCGCGTTTGGCTAGTCTCGAGAAACCGGGGATACCACATGCAAATAAAATTGGGTTCAAGATTTCGGTACCGTAGGTGTACCTCAGTTTACGTGTCTTTATGGTTTTATTACATTTGTAATTAGCTTTTGCAGGATCGTCTTCGACATCGAGTCCTTCGAGTGGAGTGGAACCTGCTTGAGTACAAATATTCTGGTGACACTAAACCGGGAAATGGTATACTAACCGTATTGCAAGGCGCCTCGCATAACCGCGCAGATGGGATTTCGCGGAACGACAATTTGTTTGACGTCCTTGGTGAATTTTTCTTTTATCTTTTTTTGAAGGTAAACGGATTCGCTATATCGTACGTTTTTCATTGAAGCATTCGGTCAATTGAATTTCAATTTATACTGGACTACCCCTCAATTGATAGATTCCCTACCTGAACCCGCCTACTAAAAATAACGCCGAACAACTGCGTCCGGAGTTGTTCAGCTGATCACTGCGATAGACAAGTTTAGAATATATAATGACACGTCTCATCTGCATGCTCATTTCAAAGTCAAACTTACTTTATTAAACGTAGTATCTTGTCGACCACTGTATCAAACATTTTCTTCACGTCGTGAAATTTGATGCTGATTATCCAACCCGCTTTTTCCAGTATTGGCCTTTTCTCGGAATTCGTATTCTCCACAAACACGGTATATTTAGGACAATCAAGGTGTAGACGACGTTCCCGACGAAAATCTGCTTCTTCCCCGGTGAAGTCAGTCTTAATTGGTAAAATGAATGTATCCGCCAATTGTTGAAAAGCAACGCAGTTATCCCTACGTAACTTATTCATTTGTTTTTTATTTATTCCCAGACGTTGCCCAATAAATTTGAGAAATTCCTTATCGACAAACGTGCTCCCGCAGGCCTCGCACGTGCTTTCCGTCTCTTCGCCGAGTGCACCATCTTCAATTAAATATCGTGTTGTCAAGTCGACTGTGCCTCCACCGCAGTCAACAGTCATGAAGGCGTCTGATAACATTCAAAAATTGGTTATCGTTTAAAAATAGAGAAAAACCACAGCTCTAAATTATCAAAGATCGTACCTCCCGACTCGAGTTTGTATTCAGCACAGCTGCCGAAACAATAAAGTGCAGCCGCCTCGGCTAGAATAGTTTTTGACAAATTATGTAATCGCATTTGTATGTTCAAATACCTTTCTGCGCAAGAACTTACGTTCGTTTATAAATTCCAAATTAGCTAAACACTCTTGCGTAACGATGCCCGCTGCTAGGGCGCCATTACGCATTGCAGTAATGGCTTCATCCGACCATTCCACTGGTACTGTCATGACGACACGCACTTGTTCGGGAAACTTGACAGATCCTTGTGCGGATGTTTCGAATCTTGTCAGAACAAGGAAATATAATATTTTGACAAATTCTTACTTACCTCTCCATTTTTTGGCGACTCTCTCACCGATAATCTAAGAAGCATTTGGAAGTTAGGCCGTTTACCATAATTGGTAATGCATAACATGACAAAATTTTACCTTTTTCAACTCTCTTAGATAGTCATTGATTGCTTTGGTGTGATCCACGCCATTAGGAAGCAATGGTTTGTTTATATCTTCGTCATCAGAGAGATAAAGTTTGAACTGTTCTGCAAATAGTGCTTCATTCTTTTCATCTTCTTCATCATCATCACCATCATCATATGACTCGTCAAGTAATGTTGCAGCATAGCCCCATTGGCTGACATTCAAATCTTTGTCATAGAGGAGCACTGTTGGCACTTTTGGAGATGTAACTGTGGCCCTCGTTGACTTGGGCCTTGACGGACGAGATGATGTTTGTTCGTCGTTATTTTACCAAAAAAAAATAAAAGCTGCTGGATATTTTTGTACAATTACCAATTAGCAAAAATTTCCACAGTTCCTTCATCTTCGAAAAGATGTCTGAGCGCAAATCCGGAAAATGTCGTTCCGAAATCTTTAGAAAAATAAAATAAAAAAGAAATCAAGTTGGTTCTCCCAATTTACAAATAATAAATAACTTTATGCTTCTTTCTGACCAACGGCAAGGACAACTCGTATGTCACTGAAATCGAGCATTTTTTTTTTTTTTTGAGACGAAAGACAATCGTGTAAAATTATAATATATAAATACCGACGGAATTTTTTGTACACTAAAATAAATAACAAAAAACGAAATTAGAACACGTTGGGAAACAATGCAAGACAGTCGTAGTATTGTGAGATTGATGACGATTTGTTCTTTTCCCACGACAAACGTTTATCCCATTGGATATGATAATGACCAAACAGATTTTATTTAAAAAATGCGCCCACTGGGTGGGTGGGAACAAGTAAACACACAATAAACAGTTACAACTATATGACCTATCCCCAACGATGGCTTTAAAGAAAAAAGGATTAGCACAGATTGCAGCCTGAACCATCGACTGAGAGAGAAAAAGTGATACATCAGAGTTGGTTAGCACATAATGTTTATTTCTGTAAGATTCCGAGTCAAATTTATTTACCATTCTCCCTCCGTTTACGCATTTCCTCAAACTCTGTGGCTGTAACTACAGATGCCTGACACATTTATTACCGGTAGGTATACTTGGTATCAGTAAAAAGTAATAGTAAACCATCGTTATTAAAATTGTCAACTGACACTCACCGATGCTTTGGAATATATTCGTAGCGGATTTTCTGACCATACCAACGGAAAAGGGCAAGTGTTAACCTAATTAATATTAAATGAAGATTTTTTATTCAATTAATTATAACACGCTCACTTCCCCTTCATTTGGTGGCGATTATAGGATACATTACCAATTGTTTGTCTTTTCCTCGTTTACGAATATACTCGAAATAGTCATCATTTTCAAGCGCATACCCCTGCTCGAACCATTTCAACGTTGGTTGAGGGTAGTACAGTGCAGGACGTATCCGTAGCAGATCTATGCACTCGACTATGACTTTTTTGGATTCGACTCGAAACGTTTTTCGATCGTCAATTGAAATATAATTTCCTATATATGACGTAAACTGGCTTGCAATCCTTTCAATTAATCCAAATTTGTCGTTGAGAAAGGATCTAGACAGCAAAGGAAACATTAATTGCGAGACTTTGGTGGGTATTATTAAATCTTCCGAACGTTTATCGCCGGCCCAGCTCAGAAAAAGACCGATGAATTTCTTGGTCAGGTTCGTACATGCTACCAATGCCAGAAATTCAAGTTCCTGATTTTTAAAAGGAAAATAACGTACGGTTAGATAAATTGCAACTCCCCATTACAGCATTAAACAAGCTTACTTTGTTACCCGGAGCTTCCCAGGGGCGCTGCCTATTCGCTATCTGCATTATAAAGTTTTGGTATTTTTCCATCTCACTATCCCATGATCTCAAGATTCCGTGAATTGCCATTCTGACCAACAGGTATTGCATAGTTTCAATTTTATAATCAGGTATAAAATTTTGGCATTCGAGGTGGTAAAACTTTGGGTTGGCAGCCTCAATCTTGGTCGGCATGGTCAATTGCAGGATATGGTGCCGAAATCGTTTCATATCAGTTTCGTATCTCGTGCAATTATTTGGATCCTCGTCGCTGAGTTCTGCGTAGGAAATATTGCCCAAAGCTGCTTGATATTTTAGAGCTTCACTGCGATATTTTTTTATTTGGGAACGACATGTCTGTCCCATTTCATGCAATTGTGCGTTTGCATCTTTTACTGCCCTTTCTGCTGCCATTTGTATTTCGCGTAATTGCGCGTTGGCATTTTCTAGATCCATACATTTCTTCCGTGTTTCCTCTAATTCCATGTTGACCGTACGTGCTTTCGCACTCGCTTTTTTCTCCCTATCCTTGTACTCCTTTTTACATTTTTCGAGGTTCTTCTTTGAATCGGTCAACTCATTTTCCAAGTCATGCTTATCCCTTCTAAGCGCATGATTTTC